TGAATTATCAAAATCGGTCCACTAGCGGCGGAGTTATGCCGTAACACACATAAAAAAAAAAAATAAAAAAAAAAAACATACAGACGAATTGAGTACCTCCTTCTTTTGGGAAGTCGGTCAAAAAACGTACAGTTGAATAGTAGACTTCGGTAAGTCTGTGTTAATATTACTGGTAACATCTACCTGTAAAATATATCTACTTGCTAAATTAGAATTAGTTTGCAATTAACAGTCCTTTATGTCGATGTGCGGTGTCATAACTTTAAAATAGTAATTAACACGGTCTATGCCATCTCCTTTGAAATATCAGCATATTTTCAGAACAGTCAAGTCAATCAACTGACTGCCACTTCCTGTTGTGAAAGTGAAAACAGAATGGAACAAAAAGTGTGTTTCCGTTTAACGCTGAATATTTATTTAGAGCATAGTTTTACTTTTAATCTTTTTTACAAGTTTTGTAAACCAGTCTACTGGCCGTTGGATTTACTGTTTTAAAAAACACTAATAAATTTTTATGATAACTTAAACTAGACTTATCTTGCAAAATCTATTTCAGTATAAGTACAACTAATTAAATAAAACTTCGTATTCAATTAAAAATGTATCGAAAGAGATGCCACAAAACGCGGTGGCGATGTCACACGATATGTTGTATCTCCCTAAGCTGAAGAGTAGAATAAAACTGTATCAAATGTCTGAGGCTGACTGTTTCTACAGGCGTCAAATATCACTGGAAGACGTGTGTTATACTTTAGTAAATAAGTGTCGTAAGTATAAACAAAGTAAACAACATCAATGTATAAAAAAGCTTAATCTATATGTACTTACTTTGGCAAAATCGCTCGTATCTGAGTCTCCGCACACCAACAGACCATTAAACATCATTTTGATGCAATTTTATCGCACAACAAACAACAATTTATGCTACTGACAACAAAGTTTAATTATAAAACTCTAATTAAAAACTTAACAAATGTTATTCTTCAATTTCCAACATAAACACTAATTTCATATTTTTTTTAATTACATATAAATTAAATTCCGCGCGCAAATGCACTTTGTATTTATAATCTGTATTTATCTGTTAGCACGCGCGTCGTGCGCCGTGACGGGCTATGATAAAGTGCAGCGCGTGTTCGCGTAGCGTCGCGTCGCGTCGCGTCGCGCAGTCGCTGCAGCGCGGTATATTTAGATGCACAAATTATTTTGGAAGTCCGTCGGAAGCGGTCGCTGCCCCACTTGCGCTTTATTCCCATCTCCCCCTAACCTGGTGAATATGACGCCCGACAACTAACAAATATAAACATTTTTAACAGCGATGCCGTATTTAACTAGTCAATCATCTTGGAATCACTTGAAATCTAATTTTAGTACAAGATGGTTATTGATGCACGTAGTAATTAAAATGTTTGTCTTTAAGTTAGTTAAAAGCATTATAAATATTTCGATCACACAACCTCACTAAATTATATTTCCATGAGATATTTGCCACCAATACAACCCCACTTATAAGGCTATTTTTTTTATTTTCTAACATGTCAAATTAAACATTAAACTGTTAAATTTATCTGACACGTGGTTTTGTTTGTTTTGTTTGTGGCTGATGGCTCGCGTGCTGAGGCTGAGGGCCACACGCGATCTGATCACAGGCCGGACAGGTCAACGCTCCGGCTATAAATAAAGCATTCATTGAAACTTATTTGGAATTTTGTTAACTTTATTTATCCTAATTTAATTTTAGATCTTGAAAATAATGCAAATAAAAACTCTGTTCGATTAGAATCGCTGGTAAGCATTTTTTCACAATAGGTATTCTTTGAAATGTGATCGGATAGAAGGGCTACACGCAACGGATATAAAAATACGTGTCGCTTCGGACCAGGGTGACACTTCCGGCGCTCTGGCGCGACATCGCGTCGTCGCCAAGCTTGCGACACCGCAAGCCATTCATGTTGCCGACACAGTCCGCAAATTATGTGGCAAATGTTTGCATATTATAACATAAGAAAAATCTTCAATTTGTATCCAATCTAGTTGCTAGACAGTTTAGCTTTCCGTAGGCGTGTCTTGTTGTGGCATTTATGACAAAAACACCTTTTGCCTAGCTCATAACTTGTACCAATTGCTTGTAAAAGTTTCGAATTGAACTATGTTTTAAAAATATTTAAAATGTATTATTTTTCAACATAACAGTTATCTATTAAAAAATTATTTTATCTGCTGACTGTACACGGAACGAAAATGCAACCAAAAACTTTACTATTTAGTTTTACAACTTGAAATGTTGCCAACTCGATCTTTTGACACATAAATATGGCAATTTAACTATAATATAGTACGTATAAAATGCGATCAAATGTCTAGTTAGTCATTGTTAGTTCAAATTACAACGAGTCTTGGATAAAACATGTCGAATAAATGAAAATTACAAAAATTAACTTACGGAAACCATTCATTACAAGACTAATCTAGCAGTAATGATGTTACGATTAAAAAAACATTACTAAGCAATAGTACCTCTTTTCATATGAGTCACTTACATTTAGTCCGATTTGAGTCTTGGTCTGTTTCTTCTCGTCACTGTAAAAATTATATGACATTAACATAGATAGAAAGAAAGAAATTCGTCTATTCAAAAAGAAAAGGAATTCATTCTGACTGTGGTGTGATGTGTACCGAAGCGCCGGTTTCCAATGAACCCTAAAAACATCGATACAGTGTAAATAAAAATGACAAACTCCAACTAACCCAACCGAAGCTGCGTTTTTAACTTTTTTCTTTTCATCCGCATTCATTTCTTTTAAATCTTTGCTGTGAACCTTTGCATCTTTGCTCTTAGCTTTGGAAGGTTTCTGTCGAATGTACATGTCTATATTTAAGAAAATCATGTATTTTTAAATTAAAAATAACAGTAGATCATTTCAGAAAATAAACATTATTTCTTAGCACCAGGCTTGTTTAGGATATGGTGTAACTTTGAAACAGAATTCGAACCCATTGCCAGGTTGAGATGTCCGTTCTCTTAACCATTACACTACTGGCGTATTACCATTATCTAGTTACAAGCTTAAAAAAACAACTATTAAACAATCTTACGTCGGTAACGTTGTCTTGTGTATTCTCGGGTTTTCCATGTCTGTAAATGATAGTAAATATTTGTCACAAAAATAAAAAAAACATACAGACGAATTGAGTACCTCCTTCTTTTGGAAAGTCGGTCAAAAAGTGTATACTACGATTGTATTGTATTAAGTTTGAAGAAAGCATATTTAGATTTCATCTGTATCTGAATGTGAAATAAATCTCACAAAAGATGCTGCAAACATCTCCGACGTCTCGCACAGCAAACAAACGAGCACTCGAGCGTTGATCCTACTGTTTATGACACAAATTATCTATACTATTTTTATATTACAAATTCTCGTCGTATTTTGTCTTCTAAATGTATTTAAATGTAGTTTTATTTAGGTTAATAGTGTTATTTTATGCAGTCGTCCAATTCTGAGTGTAGAATTGCCACATAAATCGTTATAAATATCGGTCCTGGGTATGGAAGACGCTAAGGGCTGGGGGGAGGGAGCAGCTGCCTCTCTAGACTATTGAAAAATATAAAAATTAATTCATGTTAATGGTAGCTGATCCCCTCAGACCTAGCTTACCTTACCTATTGACGATGCCTATAGTGTTCCGGGCTAACGGGGACATTATAAATCTAAGTGCTTATAGAATCGTACGGAAAATAGTAACACACCTATCAAAGCTGTTGCTTCGTTTTCCATCATTATATTTGTCCTTATCCAAAGTGCAGCGACAGCGCGCGGCTGGCTCGATCACAAGTAAGGTCTCCCGTCTACGACAATTCGGACCACACTTTCCCTTCCCGCGGTCGAAGATAACCACTGGTGTCGGGGATAACTAATCAAGTATTTAAAAACTAAAATTAGTTCTTGTCAAACACAAAACAATTAAGGCGATGTCAAAATTAAATGTGTTAAACCTGAATCGCTTGATTGTTGTCTCGATTCGACTTTGTCTCCTTGTCACTGCTATACGAAAGGTTTAAATTAAATTCTAACTTTTATTAATATGAGGAAATATGTGATGCAAAACAAATCACTAACTCTTGTGTATTCGTTTGTTTATGTTTGTTTTCATCTTGTGCACTATTACACAGACATAACTTGGCCATCTCTATGACAAGCAATGAGTCTGACGTATGGCACGTTTTGACACATCGCTTGCTGTTCTGCTCACTAGCGCCCTCCTTAACCTCAGCAGGACTTTTGGAAACCACTGCAGAATCCTTAGGGTTCCTTAATAAAACATAATAAAACGACGCTTAGAAAAATCAAATTACAATAAACTTTATAAGTCTACAAAATGTTGAGAAAAACATCAAAAAGCCAACATCACGCGGTGTTCCCAGGCGGTCACCCATCCAAGTACTGACCGCGCCCGACGTTGCTTAACTTCGGTGATCGGACGAGAACCGGTGTGTTCAACGTGGTATGGACGTTGGCGAAAAGTGAGCCTTATTTTACCTGCAGTATCAACTATATAGAAATAAGAAATGTACGCACTGATTGGAAGGAACATTTGATGTTTTTTTAGGTCCACAGATACACAGCGAGCGCCACGCCGCCCCCGGCCCGCCGGCAGACGCGCCCGGGGACTCTAATGCGAGACCCGCTGACGACTGGGATCAAAATTCAGTTACATTATTTTTAAAAACAAGATTTACATTGATTTATTTCAGCTAACAATGTTAAAAATGTAACTAAGCACCAAATAAACATTGTTGCGTATAGAGACGGGTTACAGTAATGTCACTTTCCAATCCGGTAATAATAACGAAGTATCGGCCCGAGTCGAGGCTGAGGGAGCCCTCGAGCTTAGTTATTTTGGTACATTATGATGTAAAATACCAGATTATTTTTTATTACTTACGTCAGAAGCTGAACTTGCATCTTTCCCTTTTCGCTTTTCTTCTCTAAAATACAAACAAAAGTTTTTATTAGCAAAAGCTTACATTACATCAGACCTTTGCATATAACAGCTGTAAAAATTGCTCACCCATTGAAGCTCATACTTGTGCGGGTCTTCTTACCCTTGCGGTTAACGTTACGCTCGCATTTGCACAACTTCTCAGTAACCTTTAAGGACTCTTTCCTCTGGAACGTGGGGCTGCCTCTCCTTTTATCCGTACTCTTGGCGAGCTCTGCCGATGTCGAGGAATCATCCAAGATGGGTATAGACTCATCCGTAAGCTGTAAATGTTGTTTTTGATATAAGAACTGAGGAGAACAACCTATATTCTATATAAAAGAGCATTAATAAAAAATAATATTAAAATGCGAATCATAAACTTCCCTTTTTTTCAATGAGCTTAGATTTTTTATATTCTTTAGTTTTGTTTTGTTTTTTATATTAAAGAAGAAGGTAGTTTACACACACAGGTTCTACGAGCGAGAGTTCAGCGGGGGCGGGGGCTGAGGTGAGGTCGCGGCTGGTGTTGGGCGTGGACGTGGCCGGCCCCGCCCCGCACCCCGCCCCGCGCCGCGCACGACACACCCGCCGGACACGAGGGTCTTCCTCCTGTAACAATTGTAATGGTATCTTCAGTTAGAATATGTTAATCAACCAAATTGATCCAAATGTGATCTGATTTAGTTAGAAAATTATGAACTGAACACTAGCAGTATCTTGTATTGATGATTATATGTTCCAGAAATTCTAACATATTATATATGCTAATCTAGATCTCATCAGCATTATGCCAATTTAACTTCTGATCGTATTAAGATCGTGCATTAAATAACGCTATATTGAGGTAGTAATCAAGGTTTGTATGAAAGAAAAAGCGCAATTGAAAATCATAAATCATATTTATTAACAATGAGGTAGTTTAATACATTACAAAAACTGTATAAAAACTTATTAAAAGAACACACTAATGACGCTGCAACCTAATACATATTCAGTGTAATTGTATTGACATTCAACTAATGGTCAAGAACGTGTCAGTCGACTTTGATGGAGTCAGTGTCGTCGGGCGAGGCGTCGTGGCTGTGACACTCCCACTCGATGTCGTGCCGGCTGCGGCGGGGCTGGCGCCGCACGCAGCCCGCCCCCGCCCCCGCCCCCGCCCCCGCCGCGCCGCTGCCGTCCTCGCGCTCCGCAGACAGCGGCTTCTGCGCGCCCTTCCCGCACTTACTCCCCTCCAGCTGCAAACAATCGCCGCGCTGTCACACAACACGCACTATTACAATCAACATTGTGATTCTGTGTAAAATTACAATCGACTGTGCAAAAGGAAAGGCAATTAAATATTTATAGACCGAATTTCTACTAAGCGACCACACACGACTTGGCCCGCCACGACTACTAGCCGCATGGGCGTTACCAGCCGATGTTCAGGCTAGGTGTAGGCATCTACTAGTAATAGGGTTTTATTCTTGTATGTAAGGAAATGAGGCATGGGCGGGTCCTCACCTTGGCCTTGGCCTGGCGCAGCTGGCGGCGCATCTCGCGGATGATGTCGTCCTTGAACTGCAGGCGCAACTGCGCGGCGTGCCGCTGCTCGTACAGCGCGCCGCACAGCTGGCTCACCGCGCGCACCTCCTCCTTCAGCTCCACGTTTTGCTTGCGCACCGCGCGCACGCTCTCCTCGCTCCACTGCGCACACGCGCGCGCCAAGTTACTACCCACTCCACACCACACTCCACACCACACACCACACTCAACACGCGGCACTCTACTCTAGTTGCAATACAAGCTGTAATATAAATGTAGAGCGGCACCTACCTTGTGGCTGAGGTCGAGGTGCGCGAGGGGCGCGTGCGGGGCGTGCGGCGGGGGGTGCGCGGGGTGCGCGGCGTGCGCCGCGTGCGGGGTCTGCGGGCGCGCCGGCCACCCCCCGCCGTAGTCCTGCTCCGGCACTATGTCCTCGCACTACACCGACCACACAACACGTTGCACAAACAGAATATGCACAAAAAAACTTCAATAAATCGCGATTTCATCATATGGTAGAATTTCCACGCATATATATTTACGATTTTTAAACATTGGGACCAGTAATTTTTTTTTGTTTTATTTTTACAGCGTCATTAGTGTGTTGCAAAATTTAAACTTTATTTTTATTAATATCGTATAGGTTTTGATGATTTTACCTGCGCAATAGGAGAGCTGACTTCGGTCATAACTTCCTCGTCTTTGGTAGGCACAGTTCTAAAAGCAAAAATATTTTTGAACACAACAGACATGCCAGATTCTAGCTAATTTTACAAAAATGTTTACCTGCTTATTGCAATTTCTTTTTTGAGTGCGGCGATAGTGTGCTCGCACTGCTGGATATCGGTAGACAGTTTTCTTATTTCCCTGTAATTGAGACAGAGTGAGTAAAATTGTACAGAATCCAAACAATATCCGTCGTTAAAAAAATCATTACCTCTCTTTCGTGTAGTTTTCTTTCTGCAACGTATCGTTGAGGAGTTTTAATTCATTTATTTTGTCGCGAACTCCTTTCTTGGGATCCCACTGCAACAATTATTCTTGATTTTAATTAACTTTAAGTTATCGTGTCAACTACATTCCTGAATTTGAACTGATCCCTCGAGCTGGATAACAGATTGAACATAAATAAGTTATAAAAGTATTAATGTCACTGCAAATCAGACTAACAATTGTGTAATTTTTTAGGTATACGAGTTCTTTGTAAGTCTGAATTACTCGAAAGGTGGAAAATAGTATTTGGGGATGAAGACTGTCCTAAGTGTAAGTTCTTAAGCTAGGTAAGATGAATACGAGCAATAATAAACAAGGTTTACGAAAAAACATGTATATTAATATAAATAAAATGTAAAGTTGTAAACGATATAAAATATTACAATGTATAAAGTATATTTAGTAAATGATAAAATTCTTCTTGTCATCGATTTAATGTTTGTTTCTCTGCTTCTTTTCTACCATGCTTGTTGTCTTCGTTCTCCATGTCTGTTTGTCTGGAAAATGGAAAATTACCTCAGTGCGTGTAAACATTATTTATAAAAAGGCATTTGAGGACCCTCAGTAATCAAATTATGTGGCTTTAACAGTTGTCTCACTGACACAACATGTCCTATTAGCAATTACTTTTTAGTGTAACGGGTGATTAGCGGTCTCACCCGGTGCATCCAAATATATCTCGTTCGGTGACGTCATAGAAGCGTATATCGTGTATATCGCGGCGGTCGTAGTCCCGCAGCCGCCGCAGCAGCTCCAGCAGCCCGCGCACGTCCGCCTCCTTGCGCTCCAGCCGCCGCCGCAGCGCGCCCACCTCCGCCACCAGCGAGCTCTCGCGCTGCAACACGCGCCCACACGCGCCCACATGTGCCACAACGACCACATCACACCCCGCCCCCACCTTCCAGCGAGCCCTCGAGTCGGTATATCGCATACGCGGTTCACAAATTACATTCTAAATATTAAAATCATTTTTCCCAAAAACACATTACATTTACGATCACTTTTATATCGAATTACGAGGAGTAGAAAAAAACGCAAAACATGAATATAAAAAACAGGTATTCGTCTTCATTATGTTTGATATAAAGTACCTCTGATGTCCGCCGGCGCTCCATCACCATCCTGGCGGAGATGTCTGCCTCCATCTCCTCGACGGCGCGCGCCAGCAGACTGTTCTGCTCCACCAAGTCGCTCACCCACGCCCGCAGCAGCTGCAGCTCCTTCTGCAAACCAAGCGTTCTTAGCAAAGCCACATCAGCCCCTCAAGCCAATTGTGTTGCATTTGAAATCACGACAAAACCACGTAGTTACATCACCAAATATTATGTGGTTTCATGGTTTAAAAAAAGGCCTTTATCTTTACCTCATTAATGAGGCAATTATCCTTCATTTATAATAAACTTTAGTCCAGTAATGTAAGCATAAGTATTATAAACACTATTGCATTTGAATGTCCCCTTACTTGCAGTTTATTTTTGCCGCCATTCTTGTTGAGCAGCTCTATCCTCTGCTCGTAGGCTCTCTGCACCTCCTTCAGTATCTCGAGCGTGGGGCCGCCCTTGCACACACACAGCCCGCCATCTTGCGCCATCGCCTCGCACTCCGATAGCTTTCCCTCCATTATTTAATTTAAATTCTTCTCCGACAGCTACTCATAATACTAGTGTTTGTAAAGTTATTACTTGAGCATCAAATATTTTCATATAAACCAGGTTGTGGTGGGACATGACAGTGATGGTTGACACTACGTCATCTTGTCAAACCGCATTACATTTTGTTCTTTTAATTATTCTTAATAACCTCTTTGAAGTGTTCGCGAAAAATTCTCCAACTGGTATTTTTTGCCTATTTGATTTTTGGTATTTTAACGCTAAGGGTCGCAGTTGGTAACGATGGACAGGATTTCTAACTAGTAACATCAGGCACGTTAATGTCGGAAAGATGCAAAAGTTATCATTTTTTAAGTAATGGCCTATCCAGTTACACAGATCAGTGTCTCCATCAAGATATTGTAAGAATTTTGATAATTGTAAGCGACCCCACTACTGATCATTTAAGGTTCGAATCCCTAGATCCTAAACTTGTGTTCTCAAGTTCATGAGGATTACTATTTAGTTATTAATTTTTATTCATAATTTGTTTGAGCTACAGTTACTTACCATCTGTGAGGGTTAAAATAAAACTATGTTTAACATTGTAAATCTTTATTCCAGGAATATTTTGGCTGATTCTTTGTACCTACTTAATATATACACATACATACTTACACAATAAGTTAGCGTGTTCTGAACACAATCACTTACATCTACATACTTTAACTTTATTATAAAAGGAACCTTCACAAAGTAAACATAAAAGATCAAATGTAGAAAAATCAGGGAAGTGTCGATTCCTAATTTTAGCGTTTTTCAGATAAAGTTATGTCGTGTTTTTGTTAATTCATTATATTTAATTAGTGGCTACCAAAAATCTTCAGTACCAGGAATTGAGTTGTCCAAGTTTGAGTTGGGGTGCCAAGTCAACCACAGGTAACTGTACTCGAGTATTAGTACTTAGATTGATTGCCTAATTGTCTATTAACAAAAGTACTACTTACAAATAAGGGGCACATTTAATTCTATGTTAAATGGGAACACAAAATCTCTACATTTAACATTGTATCGAATCGGTTTTCCAAAAGCTGGCCAACTAATCACTACTCATGTGATGAAATGTTTGTTTTTTGACTAATATTCAATTATTTTGGAATCGAAAATAAAAAATTGTAAACCAGAAATGCAAACAAAAGCAATAGAAGAAATGCAAGCAGTTGCTGAATAAGAAAATTGCGATAAATGTTTATTATAAAGAAAATATGTACTTGTATGATTTATTCGAAATAATTTTCAACTAACACGCAAGTAAACAGTGGAGTTGTCAAAAGGTATTGCGGCGCGACATCCCTACTTACTAAGAAACAGCCGCAGCCAGTGAGCGCACTGACCTGGCAGAGGCGGTACTATGTACCTCAACATACGAATATAAATGATGTCAAAGTGAGACAAAAAATTACTTTGTTACAAACGTTTTCTTCACATCAAGATAAATTTCACTAATTATCCTAAGCATGCAAAAAGGTGATATAAATTTCCTACATGTATCGACAGGCGCGTATCTCACCCTTCTACAATGTTCACTCGTCCTACAACAAATGACACATCTGTCAGAACTGTCAGCTCTATACACAACAAAATCTCATTATAATGCTTAAATGACTACCATAGAAGTGTATAATAAATATCAAACGATGTGCAATTTCTATACGAATAAAGCAACGCAACGATGACGTCACAACGAGCGCTGTCATCTGGAACAAAATTCATCAGTCCTCATTTGGTCACAACACTTTTATTAGCTGCAATGTATTAAGTTTCACCGCCTACCTGATAGCTCGTAGCCTCAGTAGAACTGCTTCAGCTGCTCGTACGTGAGGAAGAAGATGATGTTCCAGGGCCCCATGCGCAGCCACGTCGGCACGAACCCCTTGTACAGCGCCAGCGGACCCTCGTTGCGCACCGTCTGCACGGCCGCGACATTAACACACGACCACGTCTGTACGTCTCACAGAGCCGGCTGTGCTCACCTGAACGAAGCAGTCGACGGTGCCGCGGTAGATCCTGTGCGTCGGCTCCCGCGAGTCTTTCACGTTTCTTTGGTTCATTAGCCGCGTCTGAAATATTTAACGTACATATTAGACAAGAAATGATGTCGGAATCGTATCAGGTGGCGTTCGTTACCCGCACGACGTCGAGCGGCGTGCTGGCGACGGCGCTGCCGAGGCTGGCCAGCAGGCTGGAGGCGAGGTGGTTGAGCGGCGCGTCGCCGAGCGCGGGCTGCAGGCGGCGCTTGCACGCGTCGTACACGGGCAGCTCCACCGCCGCGATCAGCGCCGCGCGCTGCGACGTCGGCCCCACGCCGCGCCACAGCCCCGCGTACCCCTCCGCGCGGTAGATCGACACGAAGCACCGCACCAGGTTGCGCTTCTCGTCGCCCACCTGCACCACCACTCTCTTGAGTACGTGACTCGCTCGGCCGGTACCGTGACTCGCTTCTCCGTACGGCGAGGGCGACCTGCATGCGGACTTTGAGGACGTCAGTGGGGTTGGCGATGGCGCTGGAGAGTCCGCCGGCGAGCGCGGCGCACAGCGTGTTGGTGGGCAGGTGCTCGGCCGCGCCGCCGTCCGCGCGCCGCGCGCCCAGCGCCGCCTTCAGCGAGTAGTACGTGCCGAACTTGATCGTGCCGTACGTCGCCTGCCGCAGCACCGCCGGCCATATCCTGCACGCGCATCGACACTAACGTTCCATTCTATCATCTATATAAATGCCATTAAAATCACCCGAAAACAAAATTATATACCAAGTAACAATACCGTATTGCAGGCTTTCGTGAGAACAAACCCTTATATTTAGTCAAGGTTAGATGTAATTATGCGTACTGCCTGGTGCCTAGTACGAATCGAGCAACAATTGAGTTAAATGATGAATAGACATTAATACCTATACTTGTACAATTGTATACTAAAAGATTTCTAGAATATTCTTAAACAGACAACTTTTTAATATCATGAATTATCACTTTGATTCTCTGATTCTAGAATCAGAATCCTAGGATGACAATTTGTTCATGTATTCCTAATCTGCCTTATCACATTATTGGATTATTCTTAAGCCTTTTATCATAAATTCCATATGTCTGTAATTATGGCGCGAAATTACTATGTGTATATATTATCTAAAAGATTTACATACTCTTTGTGTGGAAGAACTATCTCATTTTTAATAAGAATGTAAAACAAATTGAATGGAGATTAAAAGACATTAAACCTCAAATAAATTCAAGAATAATTTTTAAAAATCATTAAAAAAAAATTGTACTAAGTAATTAGTTGGCTTTTTATAGGATGAAGCAATTTTGCTTTGCAATAGAAGTGCACAAACATATGACGTAATAAGTAGCATTATCATGAGACGCAGTTGTCAATGGCCAGCGTATGAAGAATCTACTATTGTGATAAGATAATGTTCTCTAATGCACAATATTGTTATTGTTTTTACTTTATCTGCACATTATTTGTACATACCAGACTAGCTTGAGGCACACATGTTGGTATTCCATTTTTAGTCGTTAAAACTATAAATTGGATTAAAAAAAATAAAAAATGGCTGTAGGCTACTACCAAGTCTTTTTTAAGTGTGTGCAATGCATTAGAGAGCTAGCATTTTTATAACTCTTGTTTATAATTAATTAAAATTAAAACAAAAAAAAAATAAGTACAACCAAACAGAATGAAGAATTAAGGTATTGGAGATCAGATTTTTTTGTCCGATGTGTTAAATGTCTTACCCACAGTACAATGCCTTAACTCCTTCCTGGCGAGAAGTCTTCACAAAACAGTCCACCATGCCCGTGTAGCGCAGCTCCACATGGCGCGGGTCTATCTTCTGACCCTGGATCTGAAGACGGGTTTTTGTTGTGTCAATTGGAAACGTACCTAAAAAAAAATTGTTACCACAATGTCATATTCACATCTATTTAGTTGTTAATTTACAGAGCATTACTTATTGAAAGTGTATGTTTTGAGTTTAATTATAACAACTAAAATATTAAAGCAATTTCCATAAGAATAATTGCAAAGATATAATTACAGGACATAGTAATGAGGTTATTTTCGTACTAAACAATTGTAACATAACTCACCAAACTCCGCCACGATCGAGGCCAAGCCGCCATAAATAAACGGTCTCCAGTCTCTATCTCCCATCACATGCGAAAACTATATGCGCTAAATTCTTCAAGCGACCAACTTGTTTACAATTATTACCAGTGCCCGATTTTTAACAATGAGAGATAACCTTAATCTTTATCCGGCGACACTAGTGCTCTGATTAGAATGATAATGTTCATCACCTATACCAATGATTACTCCATCATGGAAATATGATGAACAAATTGAATAACTAAACCCGCAAGAATTTCTTATCGAGCGACATTCAAAAATTATTCTGACAATTTGACACTTTGACACAACAGACACTGACAATTGATAATTTTCACTGATATGTATAAACGGGTATATCTTTGCTAGGACATGATAGCTTTTGCCTTTCGACTTATACGTGACCGTTGATGTTAATGACATTTAATTCTATTTCTAGTGTTAGTTTTCATCCTACTACCTCCAAACTAGCCGCGGCTGTCAGCACCAAAACGGCAAAAATAAAATGGACATTAAATTAAATAAAACGTCTTGTAGCCTGTCCATTTATATAAGTCTGAGTAACTAAAATGGAGAGTATAGACAAACAGACACAGACTCATAATTTAAATTCCTTTTACTATCTGTTACATCATTGTCAATAAGGCTTGTTTATGGTTTGTTTCAGTTTGTGATTGAGTTTTGATTTGTTACTTTATTTTTTTAATTTTTCCTTTCAGCTTTCAGTTTTAACTTTTTTATTCAGGTAAATCTAAAGGTCTATTTTACATTTATAAATTTACACGTAAAATTTGATGCCTAAAAAGCTTACAATTTTAATGATAGCTCGTATTTACGTTTGCGTCAAGATTCTGGGGTTAAAATTAATATAACTAAAGCATGAATCTTAGATCAAACGATAGGATGTACATAAATTAATCAGTGTAAATTTTATCCAGGTATAAGGTTTATTGTGTGAATACAATGTTTGACGGTTATGCCAACCAAGTACAGCAGGATCCGAACCCTGCACCGCCGTCGCAGAAAGTTTTAAGATTTGATAAAGGATATGTGAAGACACTGCCTGGAATACTGAAAATAGTACAACTGGTATATTGGCTTAAACATTTGTGCATATAACTAGCAAATCAAGTATTTAATTTAATTGATTTTAAGAGATGTTCATAGTTCAAAGCCTTTCTGTGCTAATCTTACAAACATTGTAAATTTGTGAATTTAAATAATCATAACAATGTATTTTTTTCCAGTTATGCAACCTAATAGGTTTCATATGTTTAAAAGTATCATGGGCTTGGTTATCGTCAATCTTCTACAACATACTGTACTGGGTGGCCAACATCATCACACTGTTTCTATTCTGCATGTATATGTTCCACTTTGTGGAGAAATATGACCGCCTGCCGTGGATGAAGTTTGAATTTTTCTATTGCGGTGTTGTTGTACTCACTTATATTGTATTATCAATTATTGCAACTACTGTTGGAGAGAATGGATATGCTGTTGGGGTAAGTTTTTCTTCATATAGTACCTTGATAACTCAAACCTCTATAACTTAGAATGTTCTGTGTTTCCCTTGGACTGTAACTTATCAAGGTTCTACTGTACTTCTAAACCGATACTTTCACCACAGATCTGTGTATTTAGGGGCATTATCTTGATTGTTTTAAAATTTAAATGATTCCTGTGAACTGTTTACAACAAAGATTGTTTATGTATGCAGATTTTTTAGCAAAATTTTCTTTGAAATACAAATTACTTTGCAGTTCTTTGGTCTGTGTGCGATCATAGCATATGGATATGACAGCTACCTGAAGTACAGGTCGTGGAAGCGAGGCCTGCCTCCGCAGTAATCCCCCATCAACCTTACAATTAGTTTTATTTAGACTAAGTTATACTTACAGTTAAGTTAACCCACAGCCTATTGTTTTCAAGTTTTTGCTCATATCCATAACAACTATACTTAGACAAACTCTTTGGTTGTTTGACATTATTGCATTTGTTGTTTAGTCTTTGTTAACGAAATGGCAATCTTTGTGCCATTTATATTGTTAAAATATCTCTTATATCAGTATTATGGGATCTACTTAAAAATGGTAACAGAATAATTACTTATTTTATGATTTATGTATTAACTTTATGTAATAAGCACAACTTTTGTACCTTATAGTACTAAGTACTTATAGACAGTTTGTTTTAGGATATGTGTAAGTATATGTATTTTAATCAGTGTAACTGAGCAAATATAAAATGCCACAATATATTGTAGGTGTTATATGACGCACAAAAATGTGTCTTATGTATTGTGCCTTAACAAAACTAAGAAAAAGACTATATTTTTATGTGACAATTTCGTAATGTCTCAGTTTAAAGCTTCTTGTAATTGAAGCATACACTAGCATTTTAATGCTTTTAAAAGACAATATCATATTTTTCTAGTTTATTTAACTTAGGTTTGATATAAAATATATATTTTTTGAATCAAAGGATTGGAAGCATAGTTTCATGATTCTTACTTAATTTTTGAAGCATTTTAAAACACTACGCATTTTGTAACATGGTTATATATTATTATTGTTTTAATTAAGATTCAATTAAGTTTTTGTTTTTACTGTAAGCTTTATTCTATTACGACAATATTAAAAAATGTTATATGACACTCTTGTGCCAAGTAACACTATTGTTAATAAAGATCTTCAACATTTAAAAAGATTTTTCTTTAGGTCATTAAAGTAACGGATATTGACCATTTCCGTAATAAGGTTTAATTAAAATGTAGAGAATTGTCTATGGTATCTTCATTAGTAGTGAATTTATTTAAATAAAACCATTTCTTAAGATATTCCATGGCGTTTATTCTTAGAGTAAAATAAATATCTACAAACAATTTGGCTTGTTAAACAGCCTACATTCGAGTTAAATACTTTATAAGTGATTAAAAAAAATTGTAATAAATACAAAGCTTAAGTAATATTGCTTCAATACAAGTTTCAACAATTTGTGATATTAGTGAAGTGCGGTGGGTACAATGTTTATTTTTTAATACAAGCCTTCCGTAAATTATTTCATTGACATTAAACTCAAAAGTTTCTTTTGAATCAATAAAAATGTACTGTCATGTTAAAACTATAGAAATTGTGAAAATATGTGTGTATTAACACTTTTAAGTACTTACAAGTTTAATAAGCGTATTACAGAATAAGTTTTGGCACAAGCGTGAGCAGTGTTGGCACACGGACGGAGCAATAGGCTGACGTACAAAATGTCTCAAAGTGCTTATAGAATTTTACATGTAATGCTTAAATACTATTTACAAAGCTATTTATATAAAAATATTGTGTTGATATTCAGTACATATGAACCTTAGTAGCACCAGAGCATTTAAATATTGAGGATAAATCACTAGCGATAATTGTAACTAAATCCAACTTAAAGCCAAAATCTAAAAACATTATAAAAAAAATTATTAATAAATTGTATGCTTATAGACTAGAAAAATAACTGAAAAATGTTTTAAGTACTCGATTTAATGTAGTGCGGTTCTTATAATCTGATAGATAGGTATATTAAAAAATTATTCACTTTTATAAAATACTACTCTCATGAGCTATTAATTTCACAACAGACTATTTTACTGTTAATGCCAATAAATTATTTTTTCTTCGTACGTTCTTTGGACATTATACCTCTGGGTATTTGTACAAAATAATTACGAATATTTTTTAATTCTATATCCTTGTATTTTTTTTTTTGATAATTTAAAGTTCATTACCAATTAAATAATTTATGACAAAAACTTAAGCTTATGTGCGAGCGAGAGGTAACCATACAGTCGACTCGCTTCGTCTCACCGAGTCATTGTAATAAGATTATCGAGATCGATAAGAGAAAACGATGACCTTTATTATTATGTTAAAAATACACATTTATATAGGTTTATTTGAACTTACAATTAAAATGGTAATTACAAAAATAATGATCGTATCAAATACTAAACAAGAAAAGTACATTAAAGTGCCAAAAAATCTGCTATCAAATGGTAAATACAATGTATTTTGTTTATTAGTCTCGGAATACCTTGGCCCCTGCAAGCTCTGATCAATCTATGCAGAATTAACTCGTAATATGCATTTAAGTCTGAAACGTCGTGTACAATGAAGCGGAACGATCAAAAACCCTTTAACTCTGGTCACACGCTTTGGAATGCACAAAATAATTTTGTTGTTGCATTCTATGACAAAACGACAGTTAAATTAGTGCAACAAAACTCTCTGCTTCGATATTAATAAATGTTTAGGACAAATAGATCACTTTCAATGCTATACACCTATTTTGTTAATAGCAACATATTTTTGGACACATAATTTATTGGACGTTTGTAAAATCAGCTCTGAACCGTTGAGCTATGACTCAACCACTAAACTGGCAGCTCAATGTGATGTACTATGAATATATGAGCCAATGAGCTAAATGTGGCATTTCGCTACTTGAAACACATCATAATTCAAAATAAGTACAAATTGAGCTATTGATTATACTTGTAAGGGTATGTAGTGAGGTGAGTTAGCACCGGGCTGCGCTGTGCTGTGCTGTGCTGTGCCGTGCTGTGCTAGGGCAGTGCAGACGGTGTGGTGATGTGTGTCTGCTTGGTCATGACGCGCTGGCCCTGCGCGAGCTCGCCGGCGCGCCAGGCACGCATCTTGAGGAACGCGTCTCCACCGTATACCACCATCGCCAAGTAACCGAAGAACTGGACAAATATAAACGGTATAACCAAAGTTTTTTAACCTTACTAATATTATAAATACGTAAGTTTAGGTTGATTATGTTTGTCAAAAGCTATATCTTAAAAATGATAAAATTGTATGTAGCTTTAATGTAAAGTCTGGAAGAACACATAGGTTACTTTATTCCGCGGGCAGAAGCTTCTTACATAATTATAAATATACTACCTCAGCCAATGTGTCCTTGCATTGTATCACACTATAGTAATCTACATTAAAACAGCGACGACATTGCAAGAGCTATTTTTAAACATTATCCTTCCCATAATGTGGAACAGTTACAAAATCCGTCACGATTCTCGGAAACATAGCAGTCATTTTAACATGCTTTGACTTTTAATTAAATGTAGATAATTTTATTTAATAGGTTTTGCCATTAGACTCAGTGACGTTTTATCTTTAAAATGTATATAACATGTGATTATTCATACATTTGTGAATAATATATCACACAATATACAAGATATTTTTTAATATCACATTTTCTCTTCTTCATCTTTACTATTATTATAAAGAGGAAAGATTTACATTTTTGTATGTATTGAAATAACTCAAAACACGATTGGACAGATTTCAAAAATTCTTTTACTATTATAAAACTATGTTATCAGCGATATATTTCACGTGGGCGAAGTCACCACCAACAGCTAGTATTTTATATCCCAATTCTTTAGTCATTTAATAACTTACAAAACTAAAAAATCTACTTACCCCACCAGCAGAGTATGCAGCTGATCCGAAAGCGACCACAATAGTTGATGCAATTAGATAGAGGAATGCGAGAACACCACACACAATCATTTCTATCACCAGCCACTTGAACTTGTGGTATTTCTCCACTATATGGAACAGGTACAGCAGGAGGAGAATCCCCGAGAACCAGAGTCCAACTTGTGCCACTATGTTAAAGTATACACCTCTACCATTATTCCAAAACGCTGACGATTGTATGCAGATAAAACCAAGAAGATTTAAAACCTGAAAACAATATAATTTTCATCAATCTTTAATACTAATATACACTTGACACTTTCCCCACTAACTCGGAATACTAAGACATATGTAAATCAGGTCCAAACCAATGCAACAGAAAAACTCACTGTCTTGACCCATTGAGCTGGACCAGTTCAACAACTTAATTAGCAACTCACAGCTCAACTGATGTGCTGTGAAGTGTCTGGTGACTTGCAGCTCACACAAATCCTACCTCTATGCAGGTACAAATTGATTGAACTGATCTGTGAGTATGTTCAACAATACGGTCCACAAATGTGAACTGTGCGCTGATTAATATCAATTTAGTTGAGTAACCCTACTACTGAATACTTGGAGGACATAATCATAATAGGTTAAATAGAGGAAACTCACAATTACTACAATCTTCATTATCCCAGGAGGTGTTTTGATATATGAGGGGTCAAATCTTGTTTCAGTAAGGAAAACTGTATTAGTTGAACCCATTGTTTGTGGGGGATTGTTTGTTTGGTTTGGATATGCTGCCATTTTAAGATCTGAAATAATGGTGATGTCAATGTCAACAAGCATAAAAACAATATACAATGTAATGTAATGTGAACTAACTTGTCAGTAAGTGAACACATACATTAATAAAAAAAATCTAATGGGATGTCAAAAGCTGAAAAAATATAATATTTGTATACTTACGTAATAAGGCAAGTCGGTACAGATTTCAGCAAAGCCACAAATATTTTATGTATTGATGCTATCTACAACCATTACATGGAGATAACTGAGGATGCCAGATAACACATTTCAGCTAACGTCTCTCCTTGACACTAAATTATGAACACATCAAGTACACATTTAAGTGCTAAATGCATCAATGACTCATATTTTTGAATAACAAATCGTGTGGTAGCTTCGTTTGTTTACCAATCCATTATACAGTGATAATTATTCGTTACCGCTTTTCACTAAAATAGAATTTTATTAATAAAAAAACGTTACTCCACATTCATCTATCAAAAGGTTTGTATTTAAAAAAGTGTACAATAAATTGATCATTTAATTACCTTTGCCGTCAATTATTAGCAAAAGTAATCTCTGATTTTTTCTCGAATAACTTGTATTTGAACGACATAATAAACAAAACAAACTGTCAATGTCAATTCGTAAATTTCATCCATATAAATTCAGAAGTCAAACCATTTGAGGGCTACCTAGAATAAATGAATTCTTGCATAAAATGCCGCATATTGTTACTCATCAAAATTAGACTACGAAGTAATTATCAAATTATTGTTAAAAGCTTTTTTTAAAATTAATCCGTGATTATTTTTTAACAGTCAAAATGTACTTTGCGTAGTTTGGAGTTTGTGAATGTCCGTTCAAATACCATGTTTGCAACAATTTGGGTTTAATTTTTGGAAAGCAAAATATTTATGAATAGCTCATTTATTTAGCCTATCAACTCTAATAGAATTTTTTTCTTCGTATGAAATATTTTAATATTATTACTTTGATTTATGTGTAGAAGTGATAAAATGTTAATTAAAATATTGTGACATTTGGCGTTTTAACTTGAATTGATTTATTTGTCATCTCAAAGTGGGTGGATGTGATTGATAACTTTGCGTTTGCGATGGTATAATAAATGTATTTAGAATAATTTTATATTTCAAACAAGAATTGCAAAATCAGTAATAGGAATTAAATGTGTAGTGAATATAATTAAACTAAAAGTGTACCAGTTCAGCACCGGATCTACGTGAGTAGTTTTGTCACAATCTCACAACAAAATTGAACCCAGTTATTGCTCAATAAATGCTATTTTAGTGTATGACTAACAACTTTCCTGGTCCTGTTCTATTAGTTATTGATTATTTTTAACAGTTTGAAAGACCGCGCAGTTAATGAGATATTTATTAAATAAATTAAATGCCACAACAAAATCAATAATTATAAGTAACAAAATGAGAAAGCTCGTTTTCAAGTATAATTTGATACTTTAAATGATTTGATATTTATTAACAACAATACACCTATGAATGAATTAAATGTTATTTTTCCCTCATTTTGATGTTAACTTCACCTGTGACATTTAAATTTCAAGGATACAGAACCACATTACATCTATTTGCATAAACTTAGTCAACATAACCTTATCAAATAGAAATTCTTCCTTATATAAGCTTCGAAACTTTCACAGAATATATTTGTTCTACAACTTTCACATGCTCATTGCACACAATGTTAATGGTTCTACTTATGTTTGTTGTTTATTTTTTCTAAGTTTATTAGGCAAAAAATTCTAAAAAAAAATCATGTATGTAGAATTTGCAAGTTGGTAAGAAGATTGTTATCCGCCCACTAAAATTGTTTAATGTCTTCCTCATATAAAGAAATGGAATTTTGCACAAAAAGTTAGCATTTATTAAATGTGAATTTATTTTAGTAGACAATGAAATCAGTGATTAATAAAGAATCAATTTCTATGAAATATTTTATCAGATAACAGGTGCGGCATATCATTGCAAGTCTATCTTGACTTGTTTCTTTATCAAATTGTTATTGTCATTTACTAATTGAGTTTTTATTAATCATTTTTACAGTGACAATATATAAAATGTTATTTGAATAATGATAAAAATTTAGTGTATATTTTAAACCAAACTTGTGCATAGTAAAGTGGTATGAAATCAAAGTTCTTAACAGTTGCATATCCATGGACACTCATTAAATTATAAATTCTACTAGTTTATTTTGAAAATAAAATTTATCAGATCATAAACAGCTCAGTGGTAAAGCTTTTGACTTGTAATGTGCAGGTTGTTATTTTGAATCCTACCATGTAGAAATGTATTTACCTTTACGCAATGTATTTACCTCGAAAGTAAACATTGTGATTAAACTGGAATTATATAAGGAAAGAAATTAAAAGATATGTGTGAAGTTCTGCAGTGGACCAGCATTTTTGATAACCCAGTCAAGTAACTTAGGGTAATGTCTGAGCCTCTCTGTTACCATAATAATTTATGTATAATTTAATTCACAATAGGTAGATATCAACAATGGCAGACGTCGGATTCCCCGGACAGCATACCACTACAACAACGGTCACCTCCAGTACCACCGTACAAACTAACATACGCTTTGACCCATTGTACATAAGGACTATTCCTGGTATACTCAAAGTAGTGCAAGTGGTGAGTACTGTAATAATTTAGTATTAAAAATTAGATTGTTTCATATTGTCACATACCAAATGACACTCCATACAGTTAAGTCATGCAATAGTGTAGTTTTGTATGGTTTGTTATAAGTAGTAACTTGGTTCTCAAGTAAACACATTAAACTCGCAAATGAATACATAGTTCATTAATTCTCTATTGTGTTTCTAACCATGAGAAACACTTCACATTACCAACAATACTGCATGCTTTTAAGATATCTCGTCAGTCAAGTTTTACTTAAATGCAGAAAAAACATTTTTTTGTACATAATGTACACAAGGAATGAATTATGGAAAAAACGAATCGGAAAGACATCAGCAATGATAACACTATCCTTATATTTGAATAATTTGTAGGTATGCAGTTTGCTTGGCTTCATCTGCATTCAATTCTCATGGCTCAACAACGCCAGCAAGGGCTCGTACTTTAGTTGGATTTCAATGGTGGCCTTCTGGTTCACCGGGATACTCCTCGGCTTCTACTTATTCCACATCGTAGAGAAGTTCTATAAGATTCCCTGGCTCAAGATCGAGTTTGTGTTCTGCTCGCTGTGGACCCTGCTGTACGTGATCGCCGCCATCCTCGCCGTCACAGTCAGGGACAAGCCGCACTCCGCTGCAGCCGTAAGTATCTCTTTACTACAGCAATAATATAATAATAATAGGAGGATAGCAACTTAGGTTATTGTCGATAGATAGTATTATAATATGTATGTGGTGATAGTTCTTCGGGTTCGTGGCGACGGCGGCGTACGCGATGGACGCGTTCGTGAAGTGGCGCGCGGTGCGGGCTGGCGGCCTGGCGCAGGGCACGCGCGTCGTCTCCAAGCAGACCACCTCCGCCGTCAACACGCCCCCGCCCAGGGAGGGCTACTAGCTCCCCACCCCACAGTCACGTCCCTACTCACCATAGCCAGCAAAGTTTGAGATTATCTCGGTGCAACTTGCACATAGCATTTTTATGCACACTGTTTACTGTTACATGTAAGTCTAAAAATGAAATGTATTTACAGAGGTTTTTATACTTTTTTTAATGTCCACATATTAGTACGTAAACTTTTTGATGTCAATTGATTCTTGTTTATGATATGCATTTAAGAAGTGCGTTAATATTTTTTACACACAATCTCTACAAAACAATTTATAAGACATCCAAAATTAATGAAGGATTTTTATATTTTGTAATTATCTAGACAACATGATATATTTCATATTTTATTTTGCCTCAATAGTATTAATATAACATATTCCACTTTTTACTTGTTATAACTACATTTTTACTGTTTTAAGATTAACTTTGTTTGTTGTTATTTAACTACCTGTTTTTTAATCATGTACTTAACATTTACTATTATTATTGTTATTCATTTTCTTTGTAAATGTGTAAATATCTGGAATTTTTGAGAATAAGTTAAGATTATTTTTGATGTTATTATTGTTTCTCACATAAATAATAAGAGAAATATTAAAGGACAATTTTATTGTTGTATGAAAAAGGTCAAATGAAGTTTTTCTCATACACTTGGCTCTATGAATATGTTAAAATAATTTACAGGGTTATCAGAATGGGGTTTTGATATTTTTTATAACTCTCTTTTATTTTATGGTGATTGATTTTTTTACTGAATTTGAGTAAATAGTTTGAATTAAACCAAAGAGATTAATTTACTTTTATTTAGTTTGCTCAACTGTGTATTTGATCTGAATTATTGACATGACACTGGCTATTGTTGAAAGTTTTTGAAATTATCATATTTACCCTATTTTAGAGTTTTTTCTGGTTTAGTAATGCACAAATTAATTTTATATTAATGTAACATTCATTAAAGCATTTTATTAATTTCTTAACGTTTTTAATAAGCTTATTGCATATTTTCTTATATTTCGATTGATTGTAAGGTATATGCAGATAATATTTACATAAAAATAATTTATTTTATATTTACACTGTACACTTTATATTTGACAATTTAGTTTTAAGGATAACCATATTTTGACAAGTTTTATGTAGCCTCATGTTAAGACTAATGAAGTTATTTGAATTTTACCATTTTATAGTCATAAATGCACTCAAGTGCAATATGAAAAAATCTGATTAAATTTAATGCCTTTTAGAATTTGAATTTGGTACCCTTTTATTTGGTTTAAGCTTAACTTGTTTTAATTTAAGTATTTAACCACCTTTACAGTTAAGTTTTGTTTAAGTTAAGGTTTTGCAAATAACTTTATGGCTTCATACTGCAAAAACACATAAAATCTACAATTGTTTTTTGATGGAAACCATTCCAATTATTTAATTTGGAAATAATTTCCCAGTTTTATTAAAATAATCTTTGTATTTGCTTCTGAACATTTTTAATTAAAAAACATCTAATCTTGCTTTTGAGACCATTTGTGTTATAATCAATATGCAAAGATTTTCGTCCTCAATGTTACAGTAGCCAAGGCCAAAATAACTTTGTGTTACTGTCAGTGCCTTAAATATAAATATTATTAAATAAATACTTGTGCACAGTATTTGTGACATAACATCAATATTTTATATTTTACAAAGTCTTAAAACTGAAGATATTAAAAATACAGACAAAATAGAATTATATAGTATCTATTTTTAATAAATGTTTATAAATTACTGAAATATCTCGATGTCGGACACCGCATTTTATATTTACATTATTTACGCTATTGTTTATTTTAATTAAATTACTAAACCTGTTAAAAAGTGTTTTTTTTATAATTCTTCATCACTGCCAAACTAAATAACTTTTATGTTCGTAATCACCTACAGTATTATATAGAAAAAATATTACCAAAAAAAAGGTATGTATGAATGGTATGAATGAAATGATTGCGTTGGAGATGAGGCAGTTGACAGAACTTACTGGAAATTACAAAGTGTACAGGGAAATTACTATTTACCCTGGACTTGGCTTGGTTTTTAAAAGAAGAAAAGCTACATGGCCATCATTAGTAAAACGGGATAATAAAATACTATTATCCCGTATAATAGATAAACAAGTTTTCAATTCATTTATTACGTTTCCATAAATAGTATAACATTACAAGGTTAGATTTCAATGTATAACAATTATCCCCGCATGGCCATCGAGGTCGCTCTCGCGATAATGCTCCCCGAGGGCACATTGCCGGTGGCGGCCATGGCAGCCGCCGCCACACTGCCGGCCACCACACCCGTCGCCGCGAACCCGAGCCGAGCCAACAGCCACAGCCCCTTGCCTGTGTACACCGCGATACCTGCCACCACCTTCACAAGAACCAAAGCGATAGAATTCCCCATACTTAACACTTTATGCACTCAACAACACGTACCAGAAATACTGCAATTCACTTGCCACTCTGTTCTTCTCTTCTCAAGTAAAAACGCCTCTAAAAAGGTCGACTGAACGTGTCTTTCAATAAAAATCTTTCCTTTCTAAACGGTACTCCCATACCATAGACAACATCGATTCGACTTTTGCACATTTATCATCGATGTCGATTTTTTTTTAATTATGTAATGAATGTCCTCACGATTTCCAAATATAAATATTAAAGTTACAAAATTAAAGTGAAAACGAAAAAAATCGTCAGTATTTTATACGACGATACGATTAAAAATATTGATATCGATACCTTAACGTTTAAACAAAATTATCTTATTAACTCCATCTATTGGTAGATCCCCTAAACCACATTTAAATTTAATAATTTTACCACTAGATGTCATAAAATAATGTTTTATTAAATCTTTATATTTCATTTTGTAACACTGTTTAGTTTATAACATAAATGGAGCTTATTATAATTTTGTAAAATATTTTGTTACAATTCAATAAAAGGACACGAGGTGGCGTACTAAACTTGACAACTGGTATAGTATATCTTTCAGAGAAAGTACCGGTGAAAAAATTGTTTCCTATGCCTCATCTTTAAGAAATGTAAAGTATTTCTTAAATGTCTTTGAGGTATACGGATCGAATAATTATTCCAATATATTTTAATAAAAAATACTCAATTTTAAAAAAGGTTTATTGTAAGTTACAAATAATAACAATCGGATATATTATATTAGAAATGTTAACTAAAACAATTTTAATAATGTGTAATGTGTACACAGCGTCGCACTACATGTAGCTAAAGCTTCAACCGTTTTATTTCTTCCATCTTGAAGTCCGTTCTGAAAACGATAACAAGATTTTTAGTGTTAGAAGGTAACATACAAACGACGAAGAAGTAGGGATGTGTTCAGTGCGGGCGTGTACCTGCGCGCGAGGAGGTCGCGCGCATCCCCGGGCGCGAGGCGCGGC